ACACTGTAATAATCTCAGTCATAAACTCCTAATTAACTGCTCTTCAAATGCAAAAACAAGTGCTATGAACCAAACCATTCTAAGCTTGTGTGTATGTAATCAGAAAAAGGGACTTACAGACATATTTGATGGTGTAGATTAAACTGAAAGAAGCGACCCTTCTTGCAGAAAAAGGAAGAGAGCAATGTGTTGTGTTGTGGTGTTGGATGAAAGAGACGAAAGAGAAGATGGTGGTGTTAACAGGGTGACAGAAACAATGTGAAGGGTGTGTTTTAAAGAGTAATGGAGAAAAAGGATGATTGGGGTTTGAAACCCGAAAAGGTAGCAGAGTATAGTATATTCACGCGTGGGGTGAGGCAAAACAAAAGCGTGGATTCCTCTCTCTTACGCTCCCCAATTTTGAGGCACACAGTCTCACCCTGTCTCCATTGACTTGCCACCACCTATGGACCATTTGAACATCTCTCAGTGGAATCATGAAAATGGTAGACACCTTTTCTCTTTTCTTTCTTCCACATGTACACACCATCATTTCTACCTGCATATGTTGCAGTGCTTGTAAACTCACCCAGCTGCATGGTGGGTTACATGTAATCAATATCTAACTACAAAGATTATAATGTCCATTCTTTTCAAATAATTATGCTTTTTTTTTTCTCTTTACCCTTTTTGCCATTCTTTTTTGTATATAAAAGAGGTGTCAAATGTAAGAATGAGGAAAATCAAGATTCATCATAGGCTAAATTATACTGTATCTTTGTCGTTTTAAGGGATTTTGTAATTTTGAAAAAAATAATGTTATTGTGTTTCTTATCAATATTCCGCATACTTATATGGTCTCCTTGTTCTTAAAAATAGAGATGATTTACATTAATTTTTTCTTAAAACTTTTAATTATATAGTTTTAATTATTAGATTAAAGTTTCTAATTATTATATAAGTTAGATTTTGCAAAATTTTAAATCGACTAAAAAACCTTTTTAAATGATATAATTAAAACCACTAACAAAATTCACTTATAAATTATTATACAAATTTGCAGCGCTAACAATTCCATTTCGCTATATTTAGTTGATTAACTAGTTATATTTCAATAAAATCATTAAATAATAATTAATTTATAGATAAAAAATATAATTAGTTATTATATTAACTAAATTATATTAGTATTTAAAATAATTTATATTATTTTATGAATTAAAGCTTAAATTAATTTCTTACTAAGATTTTATATACTTATTATTATTAGATTTTAAATTAGTCTTTAATTGGTAATGAAAACTGTTTAATTTTTTATAAAATAGTGTCTAATTTAATAAATATAATGATTGATTTTTTGGTCTTTAAATTATAGTTATTCAATGAGATTATTGTAGTGTAAGTAACTAAATATGTAAAAAGAGTACGTAGTTATGTTTATGCACACCAAAAGAAGTGTAATAAAAACTTTTGAAATAAGCAAAGAAGATCGATTAATTATTATTATTATTACTCAATTTTTATAATGTGAAATGGACAATCTTGGTGATATACAACTCAACATTATTTTGAATAATGAAAGTATAATATTTCATATACAACTGGTGCATGTATGAATAATAATCTCTTTATATATTTTGGGTCTCTATTTAAACATCTTTCAGCATTATATGTATAAGCTTTAAGGGATGCAAAAGATGATATTTGAATCTTGAAAGAGTCAATCACGTACCTAAAAGATATTGGAGTTGGAGGTTGGTGCATGTAACATCACAAACTAAATTATTTGGCATAACGGTTGGAAATGCATATAAGTTTTTAAAAATATTACATTACTTTATTAGGAAAATGAAATAAATTCTTCTCATATAATTTTGAAATATTATTGAAAATGTATTAACTTTTTAACGTCAAAATTTTAAAAAGTAATATTATAAAATGATTGATATTTTTTTTTTCACATGCAAAGGCACTTTCGGAATCAAAGCAGAAAAGGCAGATAACGATCTTCTGTAGTAAAGCTGGTTTCATAATATTCCTCACAAGAGCTTCTTTGCAGAAAAAGGTATATAACTCTTTCAAACAAAACTTAACAAAAATATTAAGAAGTATTGGATGACAAATATTTACATTCATTTAATATATATTATAAAAGTAAAATAGTTATAAAATATAAATTTTTGTATTTTTTTAAAAAAATATATAAAAAAGACAGTATTAAATAAATATATATAAAAAAATTGGATATCAAAATATTATTTTTCTTATCGAAATCAAAAATAATTAAAAAAGTGTCTAAACGTTAATCAATCGGATAGATCGGGCTGAAGTAAAAAATGTTATATCTATTCAATAATAAATGGATATATTTTTTTAAAGTATTATTTAAGAAAAAATATTATTTATATATATAAAAGAATTAACATCACTATTGATCAAAACTTTAAATATTGAATTTACGAGTTTCTTTATATCACGTTTAATTTTATATTTTTATCCACTATGAATTATTTTTAAGAAAATGGTGAATAATAGATAAATTTAAATGAAAAATTATAACATTGGTATTAATAAACTATAAGCATCTTCTTATAAGAAACTATAACATTATTTTCTGTCCAAAATCATAAAATACTAATTTTGCCAATCTTTTCTTTCTATATTATTTAAATTTCTTATTTTATAATATTTGGATATTATTTTTAATCAGTTATCAGAAGACGTTTACGATAAACAAAGATAAAAATTGCCTTGAAATGAATAAAATAATAAAATAGGTTGTCTTTTAACAAAAATAATGCAGTTACATCACAAACAAATCTAACCTGTTATGTTAAACCTTATTGATAAAGGAAGAATGTTCTGTAATGATCCTGAAAAGTTCTCTGTAAAACCATGGTCTTGCATGTGAAGAAAGGAAGCAAGTACTTGACCTAATCTGATATGCATAAAGAAGTGTTGAAAGCAGAGAACAGTATGTGTATTGAATGAAGAACTTAGACCTATTTTAAAGCAAACACACTTTACAGCATAAAGTTGTGAAGTATCTTGCACAAACTCAGCTACTTACTCTTAGATCAAGAACAGTACCTGAGCTGAGCCAACTTGGCAAAATCTACTTTACCACTCAAACAACTCAAAAGTCTTTTTCTTAACAAAAGCATAATGGATCTTACCAAAAAAAGCCATAATTGATTAACATGTTTTATGCATCTCATTATTTATATAATTTGCATAACTTTTCTTTTATACGCTTCTCATGCATGTTATGATGAATAACATATAAGGTTATAAGTACTAGTAACCCATATTGATCAACTTAATATAATAATTGTACCAGACGACTCTCGGACGACTCTAGACAAAACACATGGGACGACCGATAAGACTCGAGCACCAAGACTAAACGGTCATAACAGGTAGGTCTGCAGAGATGATTAAGGTAAATCATCGATTAGAGGGTTGGGCTCTGGATTGGGTCGTGATTAAGGCCCTGCTAATCCTAGGCCCATGACCAAAACTATAAATACAGGTCCAAGATAAGAGGTACGCAGATTCATTAATTACGCATTTATTGCAATACCTAAGCAACCGATCGAACCTTTACTGACTTAAGCACCTTTGACAGGTACCCTCCCAGATGTATAGAATGGACGAACGTCGACCAACAGAAGGAAGGATTGTGAGAAGACCAGACGGACGTAGCGGAGACCAGACGAACGTAGCGGAGAGCGTGCATATTCAGGTGACTCAATTCCATACGAGAACAATAGCTTATAGGAAAAAAGATCGCGATTTAAAATTACATGAAAAAAAAATGGAGTGTTTTCATGTTTGAACTCATGGCTACTCCATTCAAGGTTTTTTAGAAGTGTGAATAGCTCAAATGTGTACCCAATGCTTATAAAACAACACTTAACATAGTTTAGATGATTTTTCGTTAATGAGCAATTATATTTTACATTGGTCAAATATCAAGATTTACCGTTTAAGTTTTAGAAAAAAAAATGTTGACAATTGATTATGTGATTATTTTAATAGAAAAAAATATGTAATAAAAGATAAATTTGTAATTAAACGGTATAAAAAATTATTAAAATAATAATGGTGAGGTTTGGTAAATAATGAAAATTCAAATGTGAATATAAATACCACTTTAAAAATAAAAAAGAATTAAACATTATATATATAAAAAAAATCTATAAAATTATTGTCTTAAAATTTTGAATTTAACTCGTAATATTATCAGCTATCAACTCTATATCTTTTTAGAATTATCTAAAAATAGACTCATTATTAAAAGTTTCAGAGAAAAGTAGGAACTCATTACATCAATGTGTTAGAATTTTAATTATCAATTAAAGATGTTTACACTCTTGTGTAAATTCTAATTGTAATTTTTAAATTAGTTATTATAAACATTAATAATTTTACTATATGGACAATACTATATTATGAGATAACAATGTAAACAAGATCGATAGAAGATAATGTAAAAAATATTTAAATTCTCAAATCCACTTAAGGTTTTTTCTTAAATGTAATTATTTAATTTGTGTTTCACACATTTAAATTATATCAATTGGATTCTCATATTTAATGTATTTGTAAAGAAGGTAGAACGTTTGAATGCTTTGTGGATAGTGGATAAATAATTATTTCACTGTACTGATGAGTCAAAAAGATAATTTTTTTTTTTCATTCTAGGCTTGGTAAACGGGAGAAAATATAGAGGATAAAAATTACACAACTTATTAAAATATATTTTTTTGACAATAAGTAGGATATATCTCAACTTAAAAGAATTTATTTTGCTCAACTTACTAAAATATCTTTTTTAGTGAAACAATTAGAAATTGAAATAGAATAATGTCACTATTGTTTCATTGGAGGGAATACTAATGCTTAAACTCATATTGGGCTTTTGGCCCAAAAAGAATAATCGAAGGCCCAATAGGAGTTACCTCATCAACATTTCTTGGACCAAAAAGGGTTATTTCAAATTACCAATCACTCTTTTATTAAAAATAAATAAAAATACGATATTTCATTGGATAAGGCTTTTTCTTATGTTCTTGGTGGAACAACCTTGGAAGGTGTAACAATGGCTTCCTCTGTTACTTCCTCTTTTCGTATAAGGTAAAGATTCTTACCCTCTCTTTCTCTTCTTTGCTTCACTTATGCTACTACCCTTTCTCAATTCGCTCTGTATTGGAACACTTTTAGTTTTACATTGCAATCTTCAATGTCGGTTATATGGTTATCAAATATTACATTTCACGGAAGAAAAAAACACCCTTTACGGGATTTAGCTCCTTTATCGTAGAAGCAAGCACAGTTTTAAACTTTGAGAAATACGACTGTTCTGAACTCTATCACTGTTTCAACATTTGAATGTGTTTTTCTTTCACTTGAATGGCTCTTAGTGCCTCAGTCTCAATTGGGCGTAAAGAACTATGTGATGGCTCAAGATATTGTGGGTCTTCAGTTCAATCTGGTCTTCAAAATGATTTGCTCGTGGGTAATGATAACAGTCATAATAATCTTGTGAATCTGTGCTTGGATCTTAATGAATTGGCTGTTGCTTTGAGGATATTTGATGAAATGCTTCTTAGTGGTATTGTAAGTATGTGAAGAATAATGATTATGAATTTTCTATTTTACATTGCCAGCGACATGTAGACTTGAAGAGAAGTTTAATGAGCATGCTTAGAGAGAGTTCTTGATGAAATCATTAGTTGGGAATGTAATTGTTTGTATTCATGATTTTGCTGTTAATAGAAGTAATTTTGAGAGATTATTGTCTGTGCCCACTTCATTGATTGCATCATGTTCAAGTTGGATGTCGTACTTTACAGTGCTTTTGGACGTTGACTACAAGCTATGAAGTGGGAAATAACTTCTAAATTTTAGGGAAATGTCGAATTAAATGGCCTTGTGTCTATTTACAGAACTCTTGTTTTTTGTTTTTCTCTATTTTTCCTAGTAATTTGTTCATGTGATTGATATAATTCTTGGCTGAGGAGAAGCTCCTTTAAATCAGTGAATGTTATATAGGATTGAGAAATCTCACTGGTTGTCTTATCTTATTTCAGCAATTTGAAGACTGTTTTCGTGGGTGAGACAAATAAGCTCAGAGTGTCTAGTGTTCCTGGCGCTCAAGTTGGTTTCGTTAGAAAAACTGTAGAATGTAAGGAATCAAGAATTGGGAAGCAACGAATTACTGTGCCATCAAATGTTACGGTCAATTTGGAAGGACAGGATATACAAGTGAAAGGTCCTTTGGGTGAACTTGCATTAACTTATCCTCGAGAAGTGTTGGTTGAGAGGGAAGAGACTGGGACTTTAAGGGTTAGAAAGGCAGTTGAAACCCGAAGAGCCAATCAAATGCATGGGCTTTTTAGGTACTTCATTTTGCTGACCTCCTTTCTCAGTTAGGATTCGGGAGTATTAAATTTTCATTTTGTCTTGATACATGCTTATTACATTTGCACCGTTGTCTCATTTTTTCAAGATTATTTTTGTAAACACACTGAGATGAAAAAGAAAAAAAAAAACTTTGCTTGCTGACATGGAAATAGGATATTTGCTGCTAATGTCCGTTGCATAATGAACCAATTTTTGTGGCATAATGATAGTAGTAAATTTATAACCTACTGTTCGTTCTTTTTTGTAGCTTTGTGAGTAGCCATGGCAATAATTTATTTGAGCTAGATGTTGGTAGTTAGTATTGTGTTGATTACTTAGAAACAAGACTGGAAGGTAGTGATAGAATGGATGACTTGTCAATTAGGCAATGCTATTTTTAATCATCATAATTTAGTGGTTTCGTGATGATTGTATTATTTGGGAATTTTGTGATCTTGAATACATCTTTGATAACTTCTTCTTTTTTCACGATACCATTATGTGATTCTAATTAGAATGTTGTAGGGCAAGGGTAAGCATTAATAGAACAATAAGGATGTTATCTGACCTTGTGACCTGAATTCCATGGATTCAAATCCTGGAATGAACTCTGCACTTGATATCACTTAAAAGGAATATTCTGATTACAATATTACATGGTAATGAATTCAGAGAATATCCTGATAGTTCTTATTCTTTCCCTTTTACTACTCCCTTCTACAACAAGCAGTAACAAATAAAGTTCGGGATAAGGTTCCATTAAGCTCACATTGAAAACTCCCATTTTGATGGTTCCCATGCTCTTCCCCACAACCCCCTCCCCTTTCTCACCACGTTTGTAATTCAATGAAAAGCTTTTGTTATTTGCAGCTTTTCATAGCTGGCGTTGAGAAACTTGATCTCACGCTCACTGCAATTAACTTTTACAATTAGCCCTTGGTAGTCAGAGATTGGTTATTTCTTACTATTGAGCTTGAGACATGGTAGTGTAGCAAAGGATTTTAGTTAGACTCTTACCTGGATTTGTGAATAATATTCGAAGCATTCAAATTTGAGCAATACATTTTGCAGATACGCACTATTGTTTGTTGTTGGGGGGACTTAACTGTTGTCATTACTTGGTTTGACATAATGCTATTATTGATGTTAGTTCTCCAGTTGTGATCATTCCATTTAAATTATGAAAGTTTTTCTTGTATGAGTAAATCACAGTTTTGACTGGCGTAGCTTAAATATGAATCTTAGTCGTATTTCATTTGTTCATATATTCATACCTGACACATAAATGTTATAGGACGCTTACAAACAACCTGGTTGTTGGAGTATCTCAAGGTTTTGAAAAGAAGCTTCAACTTGTTGGTGTAGGTTATCGTGCTATGGTAGAAGGAAACGACGTGGTGCTGAATCTTGGATTTTCTCATCCTGTTAAGATGGAAATCCCTAACGGCCTCAAAGTGAAAGTGGAAGAAAACACCAGAATCACAGTTAGTGGGTTTGAAAAATCTGAGGTTGGCCAGTTTGCTGCTTCTATTAGGAAATGGAGACCCCCAGAACCATACAAAGGAAAGGGTGTCAAATATGCTGATGAAATTGTAAGGAGAAAGGAAGGAAAAGCAGGGAAGAAGAAGTAATGGTTTTTTTTT